TAATAACAGTGGCAAGAAAGGTCGTAAAATGGGGCAAAACACACTTAACAACTGTCTCGCTTAGCAATGGAAATTTTTGGCTCAATTGTGGTTGTAAACTGAGGACTACCTGCATACTGGCCACATGGCACTACTCAAATTCTAAAACAGCCATCAGCGACTTGACCCATGAACCAGATGTGGTCCACAACTACTTGAGTGATTAGGGCAGGGGTAGGCAACCTTGGCCCCCTCATGACTTGTGGACTTCAACTCCCAGAATTCCTGAGCCAGCATGGCTCAGCTTGGAAACCTCTCCCTTTCCCCTCAGCGTGGCTGGCTCAGGAATTCTGGGAGTTGAAGTCCACGAGTCATAAAAGAGCCAAGGTTGCCTACCCCTGGATTAGGGACTAAGAATTTGGATTCTTGAGTTCTGGGAAAAGGTTAAGAGATGAAATAGCTGTCTTAAACCTTACAAATTAACTGCTGATAATCCCCGAGCTCTCAAAATCAGGGTAATTTTCTCTTTTTGAGGAATTAAAAGGCAAAACACTATGAGCTTCTGCTTCTTAAACTTCTACTCCAGTCCCAAAACAGAAGCTGGAATATCTTTGCTGTGGTCATTAACCAAAAGAAGAGAAATGGTATTCAAATACTGAAAACTAAATTGACAATATCAGGATAATTAGGTAAAGTACTTACAGCCAGTCCTTGACTTACAACCATTTTTTTGAATGACTGTTCAAAGTTACAACAGTGCTGAAAAAGTGACATGACCCATCCTTATGCGTACAATTGTGGCAGTGTCCCCAAGTCACACGATCAAAAATTGGGCAGCTGGAAGCATTTATGATGGCCGCAGCATCCCAGAGTCATGAAATTGCCAGCCAACTTCTGACAAGCAAAGTCAAGGGGGGAAACTGGATTCGCTTAACAACTACGGCAAAAAAAGTTGTCAGATCAGGTGCAGTTATGTGTTGACTCATTTAATGACTGCCTTGCTCGGCGACGGAAGTTTCCCGGTCCCAATTGTGGTCTTAAGTCGAGGACTATCTGTATAGACACAGTTGTAAATAAGTTGTTTAACATGTAAACGAGCCATGGTTCTTCTCTGGGGGAGGCATAATAGTATTTTTCCCTGGGGAGATAGCTGGGCTGTGTGTGTCATGTGTTGTTTTGTGTAATCTCATTTCCCCCCTTTCGTTTCAGGCTCTATTCCTGAAAAATCAGAGGAGCCAAAAATTAATGTAACTAAAACTTCAGGTAGGTGGTCCACCATTTAACAAAAATACGAGGCTTTGGCTGCGTTTGGTCTTCTAAGTTTGCCAAGCAAGACTTTTTTCTTTTCCTTTTCTTTTCTCCTTTCTTCATCCCTCTCTCCCTTCTTCCCTTCCTTCCTTTCTTTCTTTCTTCCTTCCTCTTTCTTTCTTTCTTTTTCTTTCTTTCTGTTTTCCTTCCTTCCTTCCTTTCTTTCTTTCTCTTTCTTTCTCTTTTCCTTACTTCCTCCTTCCCTCCCTCCCTCCCTCCCTCCCTCCCTCCTTCCTTCCTCTTTCTTTCTTTCTTTCTTTCTTTCTCTTTCTTTCTCTTTTCCTTCCTTCCTTCCTTCCTTCCTTTCTTTCTCATTTTTCCTTCCTTCCTTCCTTCCTTCCTTCCTTCCTTCCTTCCTTCCTTCCTTTCTTTCTTTCTTTCTTTCTCTTTTCCTTCCTTCCTTCCTTCCTTCCTTCCTTTCTCTCTTCCTTTTTCTTTCTTTCTTTCTTTTCTTTCTTTCTTCCTTTTTCTTTCTTTCTTTCTTTCTTTCTTTCTTTCTTTCTCTTTTCCTTCCTTTCTTCCTTCCTTCCTTCCTTCCTTCCTTCCTTTCTTTTCCTTGCTTCCTTCCTTCCTTTCTCTTTCTCTCTTTTCCTCCCTCCCTCCCTCCCTCCCTCCCTCTTCTTTCTTTCTTTCTTTCTTTCTTTCTTTCTTTCTTTCTTTCTTTCTTTCTTTCTTTCTTTCTTTCTTTCTTTCTTTCTTTCTTTCTTTCTTTCAAGACCCTTCTGAACAGGCGATCTCCAGGCCTAAAAAAAGATCAGGGCCATTCACATGAAAGAACTGAAAGGCCCCTCTGCAAAACGGATGGATTGAGATGCTGGATATTGGCTCGTAGGAATATTAACGTTTCCCTTCCTGTTTTTTTGTTTTGTTTTGTTTGATTGTCTCTCCAGCGGATGGTGACCCTCATTTTGTCATTGATTTACCGCGGAGCGAGATGACGATCTGCTTCAACATTGATGGGCAACCCGGAGATATCCTTAGATTAGTTTCGGATCACAAGTACTCAGGTAGGGGAATACTGGCAGGGGAACCACGAAGCTGGGGGTATTAACTTATTCCATCAACAGAGTTGGGGGAAGCTTGGCCTGGCCTGAAGGGTATGGATGGAAAGGAAACACTGATGAATTTCCACCTCCAAATCCGCTTATGGGGCAGGACAAGGTTTAGAGTCAACTTGGGACAATTTCAAACAAGGAAGCAAATATTAGTGGCATTTCCTCTGCTGTTGGTTTTAATACCCACAATTATTGTCCAACTCTGACAAGAACAATACGCTGTTTCTAGGAGGCAACAGTTGCCGCATCAAAAATAGGAAATTGCTAAAGATCCGTTGGGATCACATAACAAGCCAGACTAAACTAAAGTGCATTGTTTGGGATTCAGTGGGTCGTGGGAACTCAGCCACTGTCTTACCACATTATGGGAAACAGATCGTCCCAGCCTACCCCATTATGATACAATTTGTGGCTTTTTTCTTTGCATTTTTAAGAAAAATACAACTCTGTACCATACTGAGATTTGCTGCATGCAAACAAGGGGACAATAGCAACAGGTTATGTATAAAGATGCTGGCCCAAAGTCATCCAGCTTGCTTGCATGACTAAGGTGGTTCTAGAACTCACAGTCTCCTGGTGAATGGCCCATGGTCACCCAGTCAGCTTTCATGCCTAAGGCAGGACTACAACTCTCGGTCTTCTGCTGATTGGCCCATGGTCACCCAGATGGCTTTCATACCTAAGGCGGAAGTAGAACTCTCTTTATCTCTTTTCTTGTCCCCTAGGAGTGACTGTCAATGGTCAACTAATCGGGGCACCCGCCCCACGGAACGGTCATAAGAAACAGCGGACGTACTTCAAGAGCATCACAATTCTCAGCAACAAACCAGAAAGATCCTACCTAGAAATTTCACCTACCAAGGTCATCTTGGATGATGACAAGAGGCTGGTCTTCCCCTGTGACCGCAACGCCGTGGTAGTGGGCAAGAATTTCCAAGTGTCCATCGTGGCCCACGCCAACATCACCGTGGTCCTACACGATTCCATCAGTTTTGTCATTCTGATCCACCACTACAAGAACCCTGCCCGGTATCAGAAGAATCACTTGGGATTCTACATCTCTAACGGTCAAGGACTTTCCACAGCTTCCCATGGGCTGATAGGTAAGGGAGAGATGTGTTGGTTTCTAAGGTTGTGTGCAGAGAGACGTACAGGATGTCTTCCATTTGGATTCTGAGAATAGAATAGAATAGGATAGGATAGGATAGGATAGGATAGGATAGGATAGGATAGGATGGGATGGGATGGGATGGGATGGGATGGGATGGGATGGGATGGGATGTGGAATAGAATTGAATATAATAGAATATGGAATAGAATAGAATAGAATAGAATAGAATAGAATAGAATGGAATGGAATGGAATGGAATGGAATAGAATAAGAATAGAATAGAATAGAATAGAATAGAATAGAATAGAATAGAATAGAATAGAATAGAAAATATGGAATAGAATAGAATAGAATAGAATAGAATAGAATAGAATAGAATAGAATAGAATAGAATAGAATAGGATAGGATAGGATGGGATGGGATGGGATGGGATGGGATGGGATAGAATGTGGAATAGAATAGAATAGAATAGAATAGAAAATATGGAATAGGATAGAATAGAATAGAATAGAATAGAATAGAATAGAATAGAATAGAATAGAATAGAATAGAATGGAATGGAATGGAATGGAATGGAATGGAATGGAATGGAATGGAATAGAATAGAAAATATGGAATAGGATAGAACAGAACAGAACAGAACAAACAGAACAGAATAGAACAGGGATGCCAAACTGCTGGCCCATGGGCTGGACGCGTCATCCGGAAGCTGCACCTATCCCATTGCCGGCCATGGCAAAACTTTTCTAAAAAGTTCCGCGTTGGTGGAAATTGCTCTCCCCATTCCTGTCTCATTAATTCACTTGCTCACAAATTCCATTTTTGTTTCTCTATTGCAGGCCAGTTCTTGCACCAAGACATTCAGCTGTTGACTGAGCCATTCTCAGAAAAGTGTAGCCCGGACAACTGCCGTGAAATAAAGTCTGGGGACTCAAACTCGGCGCACACCCTAAAGTTGAAAGGGCGTTTGGTGCCCGTCGTGTGGAAGCAGAGAAAGATCTACAATGGCAAACAGGAAGTGGATTGCTGGTTTGCCAAAAACAATGCAGAGAAACTAATTGATGGGGACTACAGAGACTACTTGGCCTCCCATCCCTTTGACACAGGGACTAGCACCTTAGTGGAAAACAGACTTTGAAAAGAGGAAAAACTCCCTTGTGCTGTTCTCCGAGAAGAATGTGCTTGCTCTCAAGAGAACTTTTATGTTTTAACTAGGCTTTGTCATTCTGAAGGGACACACTTTAAAAGTACAGGTAGTTCTCCACTTACGACCACAATTGAGCCCAAAATTTCTGTTGTGAAATGAGATATTTGTTCAGTGAGTTTTGCTGCATTTTACAACCTTTCTTGCCACAGTTGTTAAGGGAATCACTGCAGTTATTAAGTTAGTAATATGGTTGTTAAGTGAATCCGGTTCCCCCATTGACTTTGCTTGTCAGAATAGAATAGAATAGAATAGAATAGAATAGAGTAGAGTAGAGTAGAGTAGAGTAGAGTAGAGTAGAGTAGAGTAGAGTAGAGTAGAGTAGAGTAGAGTAGAGTAGAATAGAATAGAATAGAATATGGAATAAATAGAATGGAATGGAATAGAACAGAACAGAACTATCAGCAAAGTATGTATGTAGCAAAGCCTAATGTATGATTATTATCTAGTTAAGAAATTATTCTTGAAAAATCACTCTTCAGTTGGAACAAGCAGATAGATGGAACAGCTTCATAAAAGATGCACACAACCGTTTTTTATGTTTGTATTGCACTGTTTGTATAATGTGCGACTGAGTGGGTCTAGCACGTGGGAAATTTTGCTTGGAAATCAAATGGCAATTAAACAATGAAGCCATTTTAATTTCAGTGGAGACTGTCAAGAATGTAAATATTTCTCTGTTGTACTGTAAATACTGTCGTACTGTAAATTTGCTAAGCATAACCTGATAGCTCAACACTATCAGGTTAGTGTTTTCATTCACACAACCTGTTAGCATTTTGTGACTTAGCCTGTCATGCAAACTCAGCAACACAGCGCTTATGTTGTATTGTAAGGCAGCTGGATGGATATGGGGGGGGGGGGTGTCACACGTACTCACAAATTTTAGTTTGCAGAAAGTAGCTGCCTTAATATAGGAATAAAAAATTTAAAATATGGTGGTATTATAAAAATTATAATAAAAGGATTTCTTTTTATATTGATTAAATTCATGGAGTTTTCTCACCAGTAGGGAATGCATTTATCAACACAGGATGCAGAAATTGCAAAAATGCAGATATAATCAAAGATAATTTCCAATTGATAGTAGCCATTCACAAAAGAGTTGCATGTGATGAAAACATTTCTGCATAATTGAAGCCACTGACACATATGGGGTGAGGTGAATCTTTAATTAATTAATGTTTTGGTCGCCACAGTATAAAAAGATGTTGAGACTCTTGAAAGGGTGCAAAGGTATGAAGAATGGTTTGAAATGTGTCAAAAGTCTTTTTCCCTAATTCAATGTCTGCCAGACCAGTGTTTCTCAACTTTAACAACTTTAAGATGGATGGACTTCAACTCCCAGAATCCCTCAGCCAGCATTGTTTGCTTTTTTTCTAGAATCAGTGTCAGGAAAAAAAAATAGAAACATTCTGGAAGAAATTCAAATTATTCACTTTTACTGGGCTTTGGGGTCTTAACCTAACGGGGTGGGGAGAATGGGGTGTTATTATATATTACCAGATGAATGGAATGGAATGGAATAGAATATGGAATAGAATGGAATGGAATGGAATGTATGGGATGGAATGGAATGGAATGGAATAGAAAATAGAATAGAATAGAATACAGAATAGAGTAGAGTAGAGTAGAGTAGAGTAGAATAGAGAATGGAATGGAATGGAATAGAAAATAGAATAGAATAGAATACAGAATAGAATAGAATAGAATAGAATAGAATAGAATAGAATAGAATAGAATAGAATAGTTCTGTCATGGCCACCATCTTGACTTCGTTGACCACTCCAGAGATGCTTCAGCTACGAGCAAATAAAATAAAAAGCAGAATGGAACAGCAGCCAAATAAATCATGTCATAAAGATTAGAGACAAATATTTGAAGAGCAGAGAAAGAATTTTAATTCTGCCACTCCCTTGCTTCTCTCTTTAGAAAAAAACAAACAGTTAATGTGTTTTTTAAAAATAATTTGTCTAGGCTTCCTGTTTAAACTAAAAAAAAAAACACACACAAAGCCATTTAGCTCAAAGATCAAACAGAATCTTGCTAAGCAAACAATTGGTAATGAGGGGAAAGAGATGCTAATTTAAACAACAGCCGTTTTCCATGGCCAAAGAATGAGCTGAAAACCCCCACAAAGAATGGCTGAGGGTTCAAGAAAGGTAACCAACTGCACATGTCAATTAAAAGAGCTCTCGGTGTTAAGTAATTTTAAAGGTCTGCCCTAAAAAAGCTAAAATGCACACTGCGGGGAAGGATAACTTTGTAAAATGTTTTGCCTCTTCGTTTCTGTTCATTACAGAGGCTGAGAAAGAGAACTTATTAAAAATAACTTATTAAAAACTTATTAAAAAGAGTACAGAGAAGAGCAACAAAGATGATCAGGGGACTGGAGGCTAAAACATATAAGGAACGGTTGCTGGAATTGGGTATGTCTAGTAGTTTAATGAAGAGAAGGACGAGGGGGGACATGATAGCAGCCTTCCAGTATCTCAGGGGCTGCCACAAAGAAGAGGGAGTCAAGCTATTCTCCAAAGCACCTGAAGGCAGGACAAGAAGCAACGGATGGAAACTAACCAAGGAGAGAAGCAACCTAGAACTAAGGAGAAACTTCCTGACAGTGAGAACAATTAACCAGTGGAACTACTTGCCTCCAGAAGCGGTGAATGCTCCAACACTGGAAGTTTTAAAGAAAAGACTGGACAGCCATTTGTCCGAAATGGTGTAGGGTTTCCTGCCTGAGCAGGGGGTTGGACTCAATGACCTCCAAGGTCCCTTCCAATTTATTTTATTATTATTATTATTATTATTATTATTATTATTATTATTATTATTATTATTATTATTATTATTATTATTAAGTCTGGGTTTTGTTACTTCCCTTGGAGATATAAAGTGACCCCAAATCCCATTTTACAAAGGAAGGCTCAGCTACTCAAACTTAGCCAAGTATTTCTCAAGCTGAGCAATTTTAAGAGGGTTGGGTTTCAACTCCCAGAATGCCCCAGCCAGCATGTGTAGACTTCAGCTCCCAGAATTCCCCTGGCAGTATTCTCATAGCTTAAGAGTACCAGCTATAAAATAATTTTCCACCCAAGCATGCCCACAGCCCAAGTTTCCATTTTTTTTGAAAGCAGAGCTCAGAGCACACACACACAAGCGATCGCTTCCGTAGCCATTTGAATATGAAACATTTATTATTCTTACAAAACAGTAGTAAAAAAAATGTGAGTCAGTCAGGCCAAACAGCAAGGCTTTTTAAATAACGGTCTTTGTGACCAGATTCTATTTACAAGTGGTTTGTGCTTTTGTCAGTCATTCAGGTTTGCACAAGGCAAATTCATCCTGACTCTCATTTTTTATTTCTTTCTTTCTTTTTTGTTATTAAAAAGTGCTAAGATGCAGAATCAAGCCAAAACTATAACCAGCTGGCCAGCCAGAATAAACAGTTCCTCAGGAATTTTAAGGCCCTCAAATAACCCAGCAACATATTCCAAAAAAAAAGAAAAAAAAAGGCATTTCAAATGCAACAGGCCACAGGTACAAACCATCTTAGGATGTTTTAGTGCCAAGTCTTTAAACTTGGCCCTTTTATGACTTGTGGACTTCAACTCCCAGAATTCCTCAGCCAGGCTGAGGAATTCTGGGGGTTGAAGTCCACAAGTCATAAAAGGGCCAAGTTGGAAGACCCCTGATTTAGTGGGTCGTGTTTTACAATTTCTCATTTCCACTGTGATCTCTAAAATGAAGATCCTTTTTTTAAAAAACATTTTTGGTTCAGCTTGGAATTATGAAAGGGCCAACTCAATAATCTCAGAGTTTTAAGCTGGGGCTCCGGCTTTGAGGAGAAGACGCTAAGAGATCTACGTCACTTCTGGAACTGTCAAAATCCAAAGTGGGGCAAAGAAGTACCTGTGAATGAAAGGGGAAAAAAGCATTCAAAAATTAATTTCATGGGCCATATTTTCTTATCATTTGCCAAACAGAACTATCCATTAACAAGAAATGACGGATGGAAACTAATCAAGGAGAGAAACAACCAGAAATTAAGGAGAAACTTCTTACAATTAACCAGTGGGACAGCTTGCCTTCAGAAATTTGGGGTGCTTCATCATTGGGGGGGGGTTTAAGAAGAGACTGGACAGCCACTTGTCTGAAATGGTGTAGGGTAGGGGTCTTCAAATTTGGCAACGTTAAGACTTGTGGACTTCAACTCCCAGAATTCCTCAGTCCACAAGTCTTAAAGTTGCCAAGTTTGAAGAACCCTGGTATAGGGTCTCCTGCTTGAGCAGGGGGCTGGACTACAAGACCTCCAAGGTCCCTTCCAGCTCAATTCTGATTCAAATTCTCAACCGCTTGTCATACAGTTTAGCCTCCAGACTCCTAATCCAGGGCTTTTCAACCTTTTCACCCATTGTACCACTTTTAGGATATGGCAACATCCGAGTAGCACCAGTCGCCTAGCAAGGTGTCAAAAACGTGATGACCCAAAAAAAAAAAAAAAGGAAAAAAGTGATAAAAGTACAGGTAGTCCTTGACTTACAACAGTTCGCTTAGTGACTGTTCGATATTACAATGGCACTGAAAAAAGTGCCCCCCAAGCCACAGCCGAGCAAGACACCTGCCTGCCCACCCGGCCGCGCTCTTCCTCCTGTCCGAGGTTTCCATTGTTGTGAGCATTTCTGTTGACGATTGGCAGCGGTGATGGGGTGGGGGGTGTTTGGTTTTTATTCCCCCCGTCTGCTGGGTGGTTGCAGCAGGTTTTGGTCACTTCACATGACCCTGGGACACTGTGACCGTCATAAATATGAATCAGTTGCCAAGCATCTGAATGTAAATCACAAGACCCTGGAGATGCTGCAACATTCCAGCTGATCGGCGCTTCTTCTGGGCTCAGCAGAAGTGTCAGGATCAGCGCCGAGCTCCAGCTGGAGCCTGGCGCTGATCCTGGCACTTCCGCTGAGCCCTGACAGCCCTGCAGCTCCAGCCGTCTCTCGCTCAGGCTTGTGCGGTGCTGCCACCGGTTCAGCTCATTCCCCTCCCCCACTACCACTTTTCTAGGATGTTCGCGTACCACCTGCCAGGTGCCAATGTACCACAGGTGGTACCCGTGCCACTGGTTGAAAAGCCCTGCCCTAATCATCTTTGTTGCTCTTCTCTGTACACTTTCCAGATCTCAGCAGCTTTTTTGTATTGTGGTGACCAGAACAGCATTCAGTATTCCAAGTCTGGCCTCAACAATGCAGTATAAAATGGTATTATCACTGCACAGGGTATCCTTTTTTTCTAAAAAGACTGCACACAGAGGGAGAGTCAGCTGCAACGCCATAAACATTTTGAAGGATGTGGAGACTCGCAAGGCGGTGTGCGTGTGTGAAGGCAGAGACAGCACCGATAACTATCGCCCTTTGGCACAGACAGCACATGTGCAAACAGAGAGGTCCAGATGCTGTGTACACAATCCCTCATGTGCATCAACAGAGAACAAAGGCTGGCTGGAAAAATTAGCCGGAAAAATCCCCCCCCCCGCCATTGAACCTAGAGGGTGCTCGGAGGATATCCCATTTTTGTTGAGTTTGGGGCTTTCCTGCTTATTATTGGCCATTTTCTGTGCCAAGCCTAGTGAATGTGCGATGATTTTTCCCTCTGTTCCGTGAATGCAAATTTTACGCACGGTCTGCATCAAGTTCTCCATCGCTTAAACTGCATTTCCTGGCGTGGAAATATTTATAAGTGGGGTGTGTGTGATAAGCAGCCCCTCCAGCTTGTTTTAAAACAGGGATTAGTTTATCCCCAGTTCAAGGGGGAAGGGGGGAAAGGAATGCTTGTGTACATTCACACACGCGCACCAGCACACCCACAGGCACCACTGTGCTTCAGGCCGAGTCAAACAGCCTGTTCTCAAGTCCTTCGTTTGTTTCCTAAAATAGACAAAGGATAAGCAACGCTGTGAAAAGATGCTTCAACGGAGCAGACGTCAAAGGGACCCAACCATTTTCTCTTGCAACAGTCCAGGATTCTTGTCTTACCTGGATATCGTCATCTTTCAGGGCTTCAGGATATTCCGCCACACTGACTTCCAGCTTTTCCTTCTTCTTGTGTTTCTTCATCGTCAAGCTGTCGACAACCCAGAACATGACAGCCTTAAAAGGAGAGGGAGGAAAAAAGGAAAGAAAATGTGCTTGTAGTGTACGTGTGGACCAGTGCTTCTCAACCTTGGCAATTTTAAAATGGGTGGACTTCAATTCCCAGAATTCCCCAGCCAGCCATGCTTTAGAACGCAAGACATAAAACTACAGGCAGTCCTTGACTCACAACAGCTTGTTTAGTGGCCATTCAAAGTTATAACGGCACTTTAAAATCGTTTTTCACACTTACGACCGTTACAGCATCCCCAGGGTCACATGATCAAAATTCAGAGGCTCGGCAACTGGCATGGACTTACGACGGTTGCGGTGTCCCGGGGTCACGTGATCCCCTTTTGGAACTTCTGATAAGCAAAGTCAAGGGGGGAAGCCGGATTCACTTAACAACTGTGTTACTAGCCTAACAACTGCAGTGCTTCACTTAACAACAGTGGCAGGAAAGGTCGTAAAATGGGGCATCATTTAGCAACTGTCTTGCTTAGCAAAGGAAATTTTGGACTCCGTTGTGGTTGTAAGTATAAAGAGACAAAAATATAAATGAACAGGGCCAAAGCCATCTCTATATTTTACAGAGAGTTATAATAGCTGGGATCGCCGATTCTCTTAATGGCGTTGCTTTCATTCTGATGGGTTAGTTAAGATGTGGCCTTGTGTAGCTTTTACATTATATGTAACCTGAGAGCAGCTACCCTTTGCCTATAGTAATGTTAGGTTCCCTGGTCTTCCTACGCTGTTACGGTTTCTGGCAGCTTAACTTTATTTTGCTTGTTTGTTTTCTTTTAACTCAGGGGTCTTCAAACTTGGCCCTTTTATGAGTTGTAGACTTCAACTCCCAGAATTCCTCAGTCGGCCATTTTGATGAAACTGCAGGCTTGGATCCAGACCAGGGGTCTTCAAACTTGGCCCTTTTATGACTTGTGGACCTCAACTCCCAGAATTCCTCAGCCAGGCATGCTTGGCTGAGGAATTCTGGGAGTTGAAGTCCACAAGTCATAAAAGGGCCACGTTTGAAGACCCCTGTTCTAACTAGTTTAACATCTGAATAACAGATGCTCCACCAACATTTTCTGTTTCTGTTTTAATGTAGTTTGGGTCTTGACAGAACAAGGGTGTTGACTTCCTGTTATTTGGCCAATAAATTTGTCAATTTCCTGCCCAATAGCCAGACATAATTTTATACTGTACTGCTGTACTTTATACAGGTGGGGGAGGGGAGTCACTAACTTTTATTCAGGAACATCACTATTGCTTTCAAAATCTTGCAAAGCATGCCCGACTGGGCAATTCTGGGAGCTGAAGTCCACACATGCTGGCTGGGGAATTCTGGGAACTGAAACATGTCTTAAAGTCCCCAAGATTGAGAAACCCTGCTTTCGACAATTTCTGACAATCTGTTTCACCCACCTGTCCCATACCAGTTTGGGTTAATGGTTAAAGTACCAGGATTTAGGCATAAAGGCTGTGGGTGATTTTGAGCCAATCACCAGGAGACGGTGAGTTCTAGTCCTGCCTTAACCATGAAAGCCGGCTGGGTAACTTTGGGCCAATCACCAGGAGATGGCGAGTTCTAGTCTTACCTTAACAATGAAAGCTGGCTGGGTGAGTCTTGGCCAGTCACCCAGAGATGGTGAGTTCTAGTCCTGCCTTAACCATGAAAGCCGGCTGGGTGACTTTGGACCAATCACCAGGAGATGGTGAATTCTAGTCCCGCCTTAAGCATGAAAGCCAGCTTGGTGACTTTGGGCCAATCACCAGGAGATGGTGAATTCTAGTCCCGCCTTAAGCATGAAAGCCGGCTGGGTGACTTTGGACCAATCACCAGGAGATGGTGAATTCTAGTCCTGCCTTAAGCATGAAAGCCGGCTGGGTGACTTTGGGCCAATCACCAGGAGATGGTGAGTTCTAGTCCCGCTTTAAGCATGAAAGCCAGCTGGATCACTTTTAGCCAGTCCCTCTCTCTCAATCCAGCCCACTTCACATACAGTAGTTGTTGTTGTGGTGGGGAAAACAGCCAACGTGTTGGGTATGTTGGTCCACTTCAATTATTTGTAAAATGAATAAAGACAGGAAACCAATAAATAAAAAATTAAATTAAAATAACGTCTGTTTCTGCGCTAGGATAATTGTCTTCCCCGTTGTGTTTGCTGCTAGGACTGTTTTTTTTTTTTTTGTCCCTTCCTGTTTTCAATCCGTACGCTATGCAGAATTGCTGCTGAATTGAATGGCAGCACGTATCTAAATTATCTATAAAGAAGCAATGGAGTCCTATTTTCCAAGGAAAAGGTTTTTCTGTCCCTCGTGACCATTGAATGACAAATGGAAAATCCCGTGTCCTTCGCTCTCCCCACAGGAGATAAAGGGGTTTTCAGCTCCCTTGATGAAAGAAGCATTTCCTTCTAAACTTTCAACTCACATTGACTATAAAAGGAACCACCAGCATCACCAAGACCAGCTCCAGCTGAGGAGAAGGAATGTAATCCAGAAGAATTTCCTGAAACTGAGAGAGAAAAAAAGAGAGGCAGAGCTGATATTTACAAAAACAATAAAGGTGGAAATATATATATACATATATACATAGAGATAGATAGATAGATAGATAGATAGATAGATAGATAGATAGATAGATAGATAGATAGATAGATAGATAGATAGATAG